TTCTGTAGTCTCAAATATTTTTTTCTTAAACAAGTTTTTTTTTCTATTTTTTCTAGTTAATAAAACTATTCTGATCTTACTGTTTTGAACATAGTAATAAAACACTTATTTTAGACAATAGTTTCAAAAGACTAGATTTTTTAAAACTATATGCCTAGTCAAATACATTCATATAAATTGTAATGGAAGGATTAATGATTATTATCTCGAAAGCTCTGTGATTCCAATAAATATTCTTTAATTAAAGGAGTGACCAAAGTTAAATTTTATTTAGAGCAACTTGCATAAATGACTACATTTATAGGGTCATTACAGTTTAATAGCTATAAGTATACAATTTAGACAAAATGACTACATTTTATATCAATATCTTGCAATATTAAAGTATTTTATATGTTTTTAATTATAAACTGATACAGTTATAATTATAGTGTATTAAATAAGGTAATTTTTGGTACTATAATTAAATCCATATAATCACGTCTTGAAATTCTCAACTTCCAATTATTACATTAACAACTAATAAGGAAAAATTAGATGGATTGATACTTTTTAATAAATAATTACTGATTTTAGCGATACTTTAATTTTTATTTATTACCATTTATAGCAATACATAACAATACTATGTTAAATCTGCAATATGTATTAAAAGTGAATTATGTATGCAATATATATGTATTATAATTGTTTTTTTAAAATATATTATGCTTGTTTGGTAAGAAATTGACACATTGTATTATAAGTGTATTAAAATGTGTGATAAATGTATTAACCATCAATAAAACTTGTATTATATGTGAATAACAAATTCTTCTTTGTAATATGTATTAAAACTGTATTATAAATGAATTAAAAGTGATCGAGTGAAAAAAAAAATGTTATTGCTATAAATGGTAAATATTTTTTTAATATAGTATAGTTATGTAAGTTTCCCTTAATAATTACCTAGTCAATGCATATACTCTTGGATTCCAATCAGTTTTTAAAAAAACTTGAGCTAAATCGTACACAAATCTTTATTGTCGTCATTGTTCTTGCTCAAGCGTAAGTTTTTTCACATAAGTTTATTTAGTTAAATTGACTTATTTAAATTTTTCAAGGCAAAGAGTGCTTCTAAAGAAGCGTATTGGTTTTCTTCCTACCCAAAATCCAGCCCAAAAGTACTAGCATTTTTTTGTCTCCATTATTGCTTTCTACTTGTAGTTATTAAGGCTTCTTTGTCTTGCTAGTGTTGATGTGAATCATTCAGTTATGTGTTGTAAACTCAGATTGCATGTGAGCAATTCAAATCCACATATACTATTTATGTTTTCTTGATTTTTTTACTTGATGGCGGATTTATGTCGTGGAATTGTTATTATGAGGTTCCATAAATCTAGGAGATGAAGGGTGCTTCGAATTTTTTTTATAAAAAAAAATAGGCGAATTCCATGGCAAGTATATTATATCCCAAATTGCTTAATACAATTGTGTTAATATATCAATAAAACTGGACAATTCTGAAAAAAATGACAATGAACAATACTACAATACAATTATCTAAATGTATATGCATTCTACTGTATAAAAAATTGATACAATGTATACGTATACATTTAAATATTTTTAATGTATTTATGTATCAAAAAGCACTTATTTTCAATTGGACAATTCATTAAAAAATGACAAGTATCCAATGTATATGTATTATAATGTATTCAACATTTAAATACAATAATATAAGTGTAATTCAGATAAAGAAATATATTCATTCATTACCTCATTTGCATCAAAATGAATTTTAACATAATTAAATTGTATATTTGAATGCTGGTGAAATAACTTCTTTAAATTTTTTAACTAAAACAAGGAATCTTATGAATCAAGTCATATTCATAAACAATTCTCCACTTCATAGGATTTTTATTGAACACAAAACACAACTGCTCTAAAAGATATTCAACTGAGTTTTTCAAGAAATACATTCGCATTGACCGAATTGGTTTACAATCCAACCGCAACTTCCATGACATATCTAATTGTCATGACCAAGGACATGGCCTTTCCAAGAATGCCTCCAGCCCAACACTACAAGACGATCTTTCTTTGCCCGGTAAAGAATCCAGAACCACATGACAACACACAATTCTTTTCTTGTTACATAGTTTCAATGCTTAGGTTGATGTATGGTGATGCCTTTGAAGGTTATGCCATGTCCGTATCCACCTCCCATCTCCTTTTCTCTTCTCTTCGTTCTCAAAAAAAATTCTATGAAAATTGATTAAACATATAGATGTATACAAATATAAACTTCATATAAATGAGAAAAAAATGCAATTAGAAGATACCAAATGAAGATAATCACAAAAATCTAATTCCTACAATCATGTAAAATATATTGAATTAGAAGGAAAATGAGGGGAAAAATAAAAAAGAGACGTTGATACAGAGATATTGAAAGAGAAAAATATTGAATATGGTAAATATGGGGAATAGAGCAGCATAAAATGTGCCTATAACATTTATTAGGCATGTAGTAATATCTTTTCTATCTAATAATCATCTAAATAAATAAATAAAATTAGAAAATAAACTAACAATTTGTGTATAATAAAGTTTGCTATAGTTATATCCATATAACATAAATAACATAAACTGTATATAAATATTGATGTTTGCTATATTGATTTTCCTTCTATTAATAACAAAAGGACCAACAAATAGGAAAAAGAAAAAGACACTATTAGGGCCCGTTTGGCCATGCGATATGGTTATGATATGGAATCATGATATGGAATCATGAGATGAAATTGAAGATTTGTTTGGACATGCGATATGGAATTTTTGTGTTGTATATTTTCTCATAAACATAAAAATCTCATAAGTTGTAAAACTATTAAAATAGTCCCAATTGTTTATTCAATCTTATCAAACAAACAAAAATTATAAAATCGCATAATAAATTATTACAAAGTTATTTGTTCTTCAGTTAAATAATTGTTTCATCTAACTTTAATTTAATTTAAAAAATTGAACATAAATTGTACTTGATATGCTCATATCTCTCAACTACTCTTACAAATAACCTATAAAGTAGAAAAAAAACATACATTGGTGATTAAATATTAACTTAGAAGTTAAATGCACTGAGATAAAAATTAACAAACATCACTAACTTCTAACTATTTACAAGAAAAATCAATAGTTAAATATTATTGAATAACGAAATTTTAAAAAGTTACCACAAGTTTGAGTCAAAAACACTTCTAATAAAATTTAATCAAAAAAATTATAACTAGTCCACTTGACTAAATATTAATAACTAGTTGATCAAATTTTCCCAAGTCCTCAATCAATTTGGACTTGATATCCTTCAGTCATGTGAACGAACATTTTGCAAATACTAAGATTAAGAAAGTGCGGCACCGCCAATGAAAATTGTCTTTTATCAATATTATGCTTAGTCATAAGATTAAGACGTTTTTTTTTACTATGAAAAATCAAAAAAGTATTACTCCCTTCGTTCTCATTTATATTCACCAAATGAATTTCCACTTTATCATTTATATTCACCAAATTTAAAGTGATAATAAATTTTATATTGGTGAGAATAATAAATTTTAAAAAGTAATGATGTGATTATAAATTTTATTTACATATGAAACAAATGGTTAGTAGATATAAATGTGGGGTTGTTTTAACAAAATATAAACTCATGGATCAATTATTATATTAAAATATCTCAAATCATGATATGGAATCACATGGTGATTCCATATCATGGTTTTTGGAGAATATGGTATCACCTCTCATGATATGGAATCATGAGATGGAATCAGCGTAAAATCGCATGTCCAAACGCTTATTCCATCTCACGACATCATATCATGATATGGTATCGCATGGCCAAACGCCTACTAAGGATAAGGCCTACGAAAAAGTCCAATATGGAAAAAACAAAAAGACACAAAGACAAAAATAGAAAGAGCCTCCATTAAGCAAGTAGATGAAACATCACTATCAACTTCCAGCAACACCGAAGGAAGCATTGCTGGAAAATTGGTGGCGAACAGAAAGAGCTGGAGAATCACGATTCGTGGGAGGAGAGGAGCCTTTAATACTTGCAAATTCTAGGTAATCTTCAAGATCTAAGGTATGGAGTTTGGGTCAATCTTACATTGGACGTCTAAAAATTCTCACATATGCCGTGAAATCGATTTCCTCTTCAACTCCTTACTAATTAATATTTACTACAATTCTCAAAAACGATGTTGCGTTGATTGTATTTGAACTTGATTTATATGATTTTAAAAAATAAAAATAAATATATATATATATATATATATATATATATATATATATATATATATATATATACTCCCTTCGTTCCTTTTTATATGTCACCTTTTTAGATTGCACTTGCATTAAGAAATTAAGTTATTTTACTTTTCTACCCTTATTCAATATTTTCTGAAGTGAACTTTTCAATAAATGATGAATATGCTCGATTTCAAAAATGAAAATGCATTATGATGACTATTTAAATTTTTGAATTTATTTTCAAAATTATATTTTATAGAAAAGTGAATGGAGAGAGTAATTAATCAATGTATGAAGTACTTCAATGAATAATATTAATTACTTATTAGTTTTTCTAGGTTGGTCAAATTATATATTTTCAAAATGAATTAACTACTCTATCAGGGGTATAAGACGAAGAATATTATAATTTATGCATTGATATTATGAAATGATAAGTAATATGATCCAACTATTTATAGAAAGGGATGACATATAAAAAGGAATGAAGAGAGTAATAAAAAAAGTATCACTCAACGGAAGGTTATCATTTATGTCGTCTTATCGATTCTTGTAAGGTCATCTTCCTAATTCAGTTATGTTGTTCATTCTACAAATTAAATTAAAGCAGACTTTTAGAAAAATTATTCAACAAATAATAAGTCTGAAAGATGAAACAATTTCAAAATGAATAAATCCTTGATTTTATAGTTGTGACATCATATCATGTGATATTCAGTTTTGGTGGGTGCTGTAAAGTTGGAAGAAAGAAATGCGTCAGCCAACATATTAGCAAGTCGAATTTGTGCTGCAGTTGTGAGATGAATACCATCAGGATTCAATGGTAATCCGTTTGCGTCAACCTTCACTGCATTTGGAAGTTCAACATCTATTTGAGCTTGTCTCACTATATCTACAAACTTTCCTTTAAACCATGGACTTGGAACATGTAGGATTACCTGTAAAATCACTTCAATTAGAATATCTGACATAAATTTTATTATAAAATCAAACACCAAGTATCATTATAATAATATCTTTATCGATATAATATAATTATCTGTGTTAATCATTTTATTTGGTTCAATCTTATCGGATCTGACTGGTAAATTTGAAATATAATTTTATCAGATTTCACTCGTGTTTTATCTTGATCAACTTATTCTATAATTATTATTTCATTTAAACCTCGCCTATTTGAATAATAATTTTATGGTTTACTATTAAATTGAATTAATTAATAATTTTCAAATGTAAGTACAATTAGTAACTAAGGATTAATAATTAAATAAATAGATTGCTATATATTATTATTTTATCAACTGATTATACCAAATTTAAACAAATTTTTGGTGAGCGTACGTTGATAATTCTATGAAGATAAATATCAATGTATTTGTCATGGCAAAAAACAAAATCACTTATAATAAATATATTTTTCGTTATAAGAATGCTTTATCATTATAACTACAATATAATAGGAAACTTTTGTAGCAATAAGTATAAGTTCTTAGTCACAAATCATGAAAAACTTGTAATTAATTTTTTATCATGCATATTGCTAAGAAAAAAAATATCATACAAAAGAGTTTAGCCAGAAGAAAATTCATATATAATCACATCATATTTTGTAGCAATATATGTTGTGTGTTGTAGTTATAGCCTACTAATAAAGCAAGATATTAATTTTTTGGGCAATTTTCAATGGGTGAACACTTTGAGGATTCTCTTTAATTGTTTAATCATAAGTAACATTGTGTACTTAATACATAATTATATATTGAAGAAATGTTAATGATTTTAGCTCATGAAATCACTAGAAATTGTTTAGTATGACCTTTCATCTATATGTTCATCAATTTTGAACGTTCAAATACAAAATCTTTAGTTAACTATGAAAATCATCTCTATCACTCTTCTTGATATTGATATTGATTTTTGTTGATAAGATAGAGACATACTCCTATTCACTTCTATAATTTTTTTGTAAGTTAAATATCAGTTAACAAATATCATAAGAAAAAGCAAATAATTAGCAAATTATAATCCTTAATTCTCTTATTAATTTGTCTTTAGTAATATCAGTTACACTTATAAAATTATTTTATGATACTCCTTCTAGTTCATATTAATTGAATTATTGGGTTAAAATATATTTCCAATATAAAAAATAAGGATAAATTTTTTAGGAATGTATCAGCAAGAGGAAAGTGATGTATTGAGAGTAGATTTTTAATTTTTTTTTAAATGATAGGAAATTTTAGAGATTATGATAAAATAAGATGTTATTTGGATAATTTTTCCTAAAAGTTAAAAGACTACTTTTTACTATTGGCTTTTTAATTATTTCTAAACTATTTTCATAGAAAATATAAAGTTCTTGAGAACCCCGTTAAAAGGAAGGATAAATATGAAGAAAAAAAACGTGTTAGTAAAATAAAATTCTGATGAAAAATCAAGGCCAGATGCGCCTAAGTTTATTTAGTCCAATCAGCATTAAGGTATGTTTGTCAAACTAATGAGTGATAATATAGGTGTGTTTCTCCTACTCCAAATAGTTTAGATATTAAACCAAAAAAAAAAAAGATACAATTTAGGTGTGTTTTTTATAAACTTTACTCAACAAAAAAAATCGTGTCAACAATTATTTGGATAAGGGAAAACGAGGAAACATGTTAACATTAATGTTATGATAAGTTTAATGTGTTGATGCCATCTCATTTCGAGAAGCTCTAATCTTTCCAAAGAGGAATTTATTTGTGTATATTGTAGTATTAATTTTTATTAGAATTCTTCCGAGTTATAAGTTTCATTAGAAAGGAATGAAAGAAAGTAACCCAAATAAAATATGTATTTCATAGCATAATCTGATTATGACAAATTTATGAGTGTTATTTAATTAGTTTATCTTATTTATACAAATAATCACGTAAAATGCGGACTTATTAACTAATATTAAAATAAAAGGAGCGAATAAAAAAGAGAGAGAAAATCATAAGCATTCAAGTGTGAAGATGAGATGCAAGACATGCCCAAAAGAAGTGAAGAGCACAAACGTTTCTTCATCAACTTAAATTGAGTTATGAGCCCTGCCTTAGTTCATGCTTAAGGTTATCGAGATACAATTTCTATCCATTCCTGATTTTATAATATGGAATAAACAATACTTCAATATGAGTTAGTTTGAAGAAGTAATTAAAAAGTTTAAAGTTAATAAGTTATGTCTCAAGTCCAAGTAGACTTGAAGAGGGTACATCAATCTAAATGTTTGTTGCGAAAGACATACAATTAATTATGTCTTGAATCACAATTATTCTATGTTTTTATAGGGTAGATCACATATAGATATTTTTAGACCTTTCTAATCAAATAATTTTTCATAGTCTTCTATTTTTATTTACCATTTTCACGAAACACATACAATTAGAATCATGCTCGTTCAAAAACATAAGTTAGGCAAATTAGAGGAGTCTACAAGAATTTGACACAACCAAATTGACCCCCCATGAGTTTTACAGGTGCACCAAAACTAACAATATTATATATGTAGATAGCAACACCTGGCACTTTCAGATTCTACTACCAATACTCTGTCTTGACATGTACCTAAAGCATACCCTAAGATAATATCAGAAGCAATATGATTTTTTCAATTTGTATCTTGGCATGTACCTAATGTATAGCCTATGATAATATCAGAAACAATATGATTTTTTTTATTTTTAACTTTTAATATATATATATATATATATATAAAAGAATAAGAGGGGCAGGAATGTACCATGAGAAGTGGAAGGTGAGGAAAGTTTAAGTCAGTGCGCAAGTTTTGAATGAATTTTTGGAATTTGGGTTTGTAACGAGTTGCATCAAACTTGGTCCTTGTATCACTCTCACCATGAAACCACAAGAGTCCTCGAAGTTGTCCTCCATCTTTAAGAGAAAAGTTGACTTTTTTCACCAATTGGTCATATGGAATATTCCCGCGTGACCAATAGCGAATTCCTTTTCCAGACACAGAGCAAGGAACTAAACCTATTACACCAAAATTTGGATCCTTGTTAAGAATTGCATTAGCAAATGCCATTCCAGGCCCAATACCACAATTGCGAAGACAATCAACCCCATAATTTAGAGGCTCCTTAGCTATTTCCCAATGCAAATCAACATTAACCCTTAAAATATCTTCATTAGATTGACAATCGGGTGGTATAATACCATCCCAATAAGAGTAAGATACTCCTCCTTGACCTGCCATATTACTTTGCCCTGCTAATATGAAGATCTGTTTGTTCAATTTGTAGGTGCTCATATTCCTTATTATATCTTTTTTAGGATTCATCACAATCCATAAATACGGTATAACAAAAACAAAAATTAAGATTAAAACTATTTCTTCACTTTTAGTTGGCAATTTGTTGCACTTGAAAAACATCTTGATCGATCACCCTCAACTGTTAATTTATCCTTTTCTAAATCATTGCAAATCACCCAATGCAGGCTTGTACAAAAAGGAATAGTTTGGAGAAATTCTAAATTCTCATTACCATATCGCAAAACAAACTATAATACATATGCATGCATGTTTCTTTGTTTCATTGTATAATTCTATCTCTACAAGGGAATGACGAATGAATGATTATATTTCTAAACTCAAGTATTTTGTTTCAATGTATCTATGATAAGTTTTGTCTATTCATTACTGAAATTTCCAAAACATTGTCTATAAAATGTTTTACCTATTATTCACTTACTTGATTTATTCAATAATTCTGATTAATAAATTTTTTCATTAAGCTCTATTAAAAAAATTATATATCGGAAGGATCAAAAGGAATGATGTAAATATTTTAGTTTATTTTCACCAACTAAAAGTCGAGAACCCAAACAAATTATGAATATACAACAATTTAATTAGGACATTAATAGAGAACCAATTTTATGCTATAACCTACTCCTATTAGGTCGAATTCGTAAAAATTTAAAGAAATGAAATTCTCGATAAAAAATTATACTCGCTCATGTGAGGCGCACATATTTTCATTGGTGTGAGGATTTCTTGGGCTATGAGAGAAGCGTTTTTAGAAAACAAAGCATACTAATCTGGCAAACAAAGCAAAAAAATGATTCTTACATTAATAAAATAGAATAGAAATGTTGTCACTAGAACGGATCATACAAATAACATCTTTCTAGTCGCCTAAAAGGAAACATTAAAAGATAAGATAAGGCTATGCGCACACAATCTGTACATTGTGGGACCCATAAATTACCCATTTCTTTTTTTATTTTGGTAATAAAGGATATTATATATCTAATAAATCAATAAAGGTTGAGGAAAAGTTACATATGATAATACTACATCAGAGATATTAGTATACCCATATTTTACTAGATTATTAAAAGTTCTGGCTGACAATTTTTAAGTGATAGTGTATACATGCTGATCTTCTAGTAGTTGCAGCGTCTATAAGGATGGTGTTAGGAGGATTATACATTCTTTAATACCATTTTTCCTCGCATAAGTTGCTAGTATGTGTGCTAATTTGTTGCTCTCCCTAAAATTATGTTGGATTGTCAGATTCCCTAGTTTTTCCAGCCAATACCTGCATAAGGAAACAGGAGGTTTATAGATTAGATTAGTATCTTGGGTTAGAATTCGTATTATATCGCTGGAATTGGTCTATATCTCCAAAGGCTTGAGGTGAAATTAGTCGGCCAACTCTGCTCCTTTAAGTAAGGAAAGAATTTCCATATGGGTAGAGGTAATTCCCATCAATTTGTAGTGGAAATCAACTTTCGAGTTTCCCAGGTCGTCCCGAATTGCCCCTCCGATGCCTCCTATGCGGTTTAAGGAGTCGAAGGATCCGTCAATATTGAGTTTGAAAGTATCTTTCAGAGGAGGTTCCACTTGACCTGGCTGGATTATAGTGGTTGGAGGAGGAGTGGAGGTGAATTCGATGGTGCAAGCTATGTTTTAAGAGGTAACATTTTCTTTCAATATCCTTACTTTTTCTCACCCATTTTAAACTTTTTCTTCTTCTTTTTCTTTCTCCTCACAAAACTTTCTTGCAATTTTTTCCTTCTACTTGTTAAATCTAAACGCAACTTTATTTTTCAAATCATAAAGAATTCTTGGGACTCGCCCACCATATCTAGCATGTCTATTTTATCTCTATATCATTTATTGAGGATAAATTGAAGTGGACATGTCCAGAAAATTTAAATCTTTTTTATTGGATGAGCTTGGATAAATTGAAGGTAGTGAAATTAAAAAAAAAAAAATCATAATATCTTATGTCTTAATTTCATAAAATTGAACTTCTTTGTTTTTCTACCTTATAAAATGATATATAAAAATATGAGAACTTAGATTTTTTGTTGACCTATCCATTTTTGAGTTTGTTTATAGATCAGACATTTTTTTTGGTAAAAATTTTCACTCTACTATCTACTAATAAATTAACCATAAACAATTCATCACCATATTTAATATGGACTATATAGATACATATTTAAAAATAAGAAATACACAGAAATATGTATACTTTATATAACTTTTAAAAAAAAAAAAAAAAAATACTGTAGATATTAATCTTTTGCACTCTTGATTTGTATCCAGTTGTTTGTCTTCATGGAAATTAAATTCTTTGTATTTACTTTCTAATTTGATTTATATTTTAATTTTGATAATGCCAAGAGTGCATTTAACATTCAAAATAACTTGTATTTATTTATTTAATTAATATTTTTCAAATAAAATACTATCAAGATATTCTGGTATATTACAACAAAATTTTGAAGTGTTAACAATTTTTTTTTGGAAAGAAAGCATTATAATTCTTAGAAATGATTAATTTCTTAAACAATGCAAATATTCTTTTTTTTGGAGGACGTTATATATAACTTGACTAAATTTTTGTATTATCAAATATTTTTTAAGAAAATAATGATGAGTTGGAGATTTAGGACTCATTTCAGGCTTTTTCCTCATAAAAAAGTAATGTCCTCAATGCTTATTTATACCCCTTTTGATCATAATTTAATAATATTTCAACTATGAAAGTTCTAAGGATACCTTGGAGTTGAAAAGAAGAGGAAGAAAGCAAAAGAAGAAAAAGGTAGTCAAGTTTGCACTAAGCATTGCGCATCAAGTTTGAAGCATAGTAAACTGACTTTCAGCTCTCCTAAAATAGCAGCCGCTACCTTTTAAATGCTCATCAAGTTGGCGACACAAAAAGGACATTCATAATATTATTGAATTGACTCAGCAAAGGTCTAGAGTATCTTCCAAATTCACAGTTGCCTGAAAAAAGAAATCAATTGCACAAACCGATTCAACGATGTGAGTGACATATTGGTGTATTGCCAAACAATTATGTGAGTTCAATTAAGATCATTAAATTGTCTCGAAGAGCATTTTTGTGAATATTTTCTCAAAAATATAAATAGATTTTGAAATGAGAGAACACTTTCTTTACACTCTTTAAAATTCATAGTACACTCTCTACAAAACCCTTACAATTAGGAAGAATCTTATAGTTAGAGATCTGGGAACCTTCTTGTGATTGAAGGCTTTTGAAGATTCATTTATGTAGGGATTCAACTCAATAACTATTATAGCTGATAATGTTGGTATTACTTTTTTAATTTATGTCATGAATAACTAATTTTCCTATTCTTAAGAGGGGTGCAATGTATGAATGATCAATCTACATTTCAGTATTGTTTATTTCACCCCCAAAACTAGGAGAGGCGTGAGTGGAACTCAAAACCGTATTCGATCAAGTTAGTCACTAAAATATACTAGCTAATTAAACTAAGGGCCCAAAAGGTCAGGTAACACAGCATTTGAAATACTAAGCTGACCGTTAAGGTCATGACCTGAGTAACAATATGTCATATAAACAAAGGTAGGCAAGCCAAATTGTAACGCCCCGTATATTTTAAGGTAACTAACTCAGTAAGCTAAAGATATATGCGTCCAAAACTATATTTTTCATCTTACGTTGTTTGTTGATAAGTTGCCAGGAGAATAAGGTTCTAAAGGGATGATCATATTGGTTGTTACTCATTGTGCATCAACATAAGTGTCATAATAAGGTTACTAGTTAGAAGGTTACATTACGACAGATTATTTCATATAATCTCATATGTGGTCTAAATTGAGATAATCATATCTCCTAGCATATGAGGATTTTGAGGTTATATAATATATAAAATTAAATACATGTGAGTGTAGTTTAATGAAATAAATCACTCATCAATAAGACTTCAGAGAAAATAGATATGCTTGTTTACTATGAACTACGCAGAAACCTAAATTGGTTGTGTTGGGAACGTGAGTAGCACATGTTATGTCATTACAAATATTTTTAAAATGATATGTATGAGGTGAATTCATTAGAGACAGTTCCTAAGTTATTTATGAAGCTCCTCTTTTTTGGTTCTTGAAGCCCTCTCCTCTCCAAAAGCCCTAATTGAGAAATCAACCAAGAATCAAGTATTGTTCCTCAACCAAGCATATTATTCACTTAAGTCTGTCTTTGGAGTGAAGAGACAACATTTCTTCTTGGTTAAATACAATCTTAAGGGACAACATCTGCTTCAAGTAAGGTATGTACATGTTCCCTTCTCTCATGTATGTGATGTTCTTCATGTTTTAGCTATATTCTATGGGTACAACTCATAGGATGGTAATAGGGAGTCGTGAGAAAAATTTCCCCTCATGTTAATTGATGTTTTTGGTGAGGGATGTGTGCACTGGTCTTGTGGATGGAGGTTAATGTATTAGAGTCATTTAAGTGTAGTGTATTGTTGTTGGTAATATGAATGGATTAATACTACGAACACCTATTGATTTAAATTTCTCTTGAATTTACGCCCATCATGTGTTTTGTTGAATAGACTAAATGACTTGGATGTGTTGTATAACAATTTAAAGTTGAATTTTCATTGGTTGTTGTTTTATATTGCAGGAGCAAGAGATAATCCAGACATTGTATTATGTTAAAGGACTCAAATAAAGGTTAGATACCCCTTTCCTCTATTTTCAAGAACCAATATACATCGTTGATTGGACTAGTATTCCTATGTTTTCAACTCCTATTGAGGTATTGTATGGTTCGGTTAAAAGGTTGGAAAAACATGGTGATTTTCTATAATTTTTATAATATTAAAATATATGAATATGATGAAAATGGCGATATATATACAATTGTTTTCGTAGTTGTAAATTGTGTTTGGAGATCCCTTATCGTGAGCACTGTGAGCTGGTCCTATATGTGTTTTCATTTAAAAGTAGTTGTGTATGTGAGTTTCATGAAAAACATTAAGAACTATTGGTGATCATCGACACAATAAGTTTATAAACAGAGTAAAATTACATAATTTTTGACACGGGTAAAAGAAGCACCTTATGGATAAAATATATGT